AATACTCGAAGTGACACAAATCGTTAATGATCTCTGGATCCAATGATTGTATTTTAACGATTTTGGGTTCATTAGAATCGTCTCATCAATGTGAACATTTTGGTAGTTGTTTCATAAAAAACGGACCAGTGAAACAAAAGTTATTCGCTGTTAAATATTTTTGGAAATTTTTTTATATATTTCTATAAATGCACACTCTCTATAAATGCACACTCATGCCTGGTCCTAACGGCGTGCACTTAGAGAGGTCTGACTGTATTAACGAAATTACAAAAGTAATGGCTGCCTAATCATTTTTTTCATTTTAATTTTCAATGAAAAATTTGCAACAAAACATTTATAATTTTAACAAATATTTCAGTTGAGATACGCGCATTTATTCCAGAATAACTTGAGAAACAAAATTTTTTATTAAATATTTTAAGGTAAAAAAATATTTGCAGCATTTATAATTTTAAAGAATATAATCTAAATTATCTTGAAGGTTATAATCATCTTGAAAATGAAATGTAGCATTTCCTAAAATAACTTGAATGTTTTCATCGGTAATTAAAGGATGTTTCATTTTCAAAAGACTGATTTGGTATTCTTGAACGAAATTTGATTTCTTTTCTATCCATTCGGATCGTAAATTTTTTGGTAACATTTTATATTCTGAAAGAGCGTTGTCAACGTCTTTACGTAGGAAAAATAACAAATGAGATGCAAAATCACTGTGGCGAATAGAAGGGTCCATATAATACCCCACTAGCTGATAACAATCTACCGAATGAATCACCATAAACAAATTCTTTATTGGATCATTTCCCTCAAAATCGTTAAAATAACTTTTTTCCTCAAGTTCTTTGCGACTAAAAATTTTATCAATTAAATAATGAAAAAATAAATTAAATTTTAAATATTGAAATAAATCACAAAAAAGAAACTAAATTAAATTTTAGATCATACCTAATAAAAGCAGAAACAATACATTGTCTACAAATTTTTATTCTTAGTTCGAAGATTTTCACCGGATCATTAAGCAAATTACCACAATATTGACATGTTTTATACATCTCGTTTAAAAAATATAATTCTTTCTTTGTCAAATAACTTGGGAAATTGCAATTGTAATATGTTCGCCAAAAGTTTTGTTTAGTATTAATGTGAGATACTATAAATTGGTTTGTAGTTTTGTCTACTAATGAAAAGGCTAGAAGGGATTTTGGATCTAAATGAAAACCAATTTCAGCTAAAATTTCTGTAATTTCAATTTTTTCCCATTCTTTTTTTTGAGTAATTTCCATCTCCATCTCGATAATTTCGGTAATTTTCGAGGATCCGGCTACAACAATATCTTTGAATTAAATAAAAAAAAAAAACTTAATAAATATTTCTCCGTAAATATAAACAGCTATTGTTACTTACTGGAATCTCGTTCATATTTTTGCTTATATTCTTCAAGTATCTTTCTAATCCTTCTGTGTAAGTTTATCACTTCTTGATTCTTTTCTTGAATTTGTTTGCTATTTTCATTCCCATCATTAATTTGGATTAAACCGAAATTGTTGCAAAGACCGATTAATGTATCATGTAAATTACTATTTTCTTGTCTCAATTTTCTGTTCTCATCTGTATCATGTAAACTATTAAGTTCGTCTTGTAAATTACTATTTTCTTGTCTCAATTTTCTGTTCTCATCTTTTAAGCTATTAAGTTCGTCTTGTAAATTTTTGATTTGAATCTGTAATCGATTGATTTCATTCTTAAGATTCTCGATTTCTTTAATACGAATACTGTGTTCATTTTTCGATATCTCATTCCGTCTAAGTTTACGACAAAGAAGTTTCACAGTGTCTTCTAGATATTGGTTTGTAACATTTGCGATGTCACACTTTCCTGAACGAAGTTGGCGAGTAAATTTTTTGAGCTTAGTTTCACGAGTCATTTTCGTTACCGTTTATTGCTTAAAATTATGCTTTAAATACCTGGTTTGTATACCAATGGCCTATATGACTATCGCGTAATACTGTTCAAATTGTGCTTAATATTATTAAACTACGTATTTTACATTAAACGCGCAGACGCATAAATTGTACTGTAAAATTCAACGTCAATATAATAATGCATGTAAGCCGGTTTTCTTTGATGAAAAACCGGAATAGAAATTTTGATTACTGTATATTATTAGTTTTAAACATAAAATATAGTATATATAATTTTATCCTTTATATTACCAATATAAAACCGGAATTAAACTTAAAGTTAGAGTAATTTTTATATTAGCGTTAAAAATAGTACTAAATTTGGATGGAAAATCGTGACCATTATTCATCCATAAATTCCCACTTCCTAAAAACCGGTATTAAAAATACATTTGATATTCCTAGGACGACTCATCATGCTAATTAGACATACTGGCTTTTTTCTGAATTTATATTATAGCCATGTTTTGTATCAGCATATAAACAAAATAAAATTTGACGCGATTTTGAAGCCTGAAAAGTTTAAGATAATCTCTTAATCAATTACTATGGCCAGATTTTAAGGAGAAGTTTGTGAATACTAACGAAGCAAAATTTCATGCGACATTTTCAAAATAGATTATTGTACACGCGAGTTATTATCTTTAAATTACTACATTTGATGTAAATTTATCGATATATAAAATTCACGTGACATCATTTATTAAGTCAAATGACAAATGAGAGTTCACACCACTGATAATTATAATATTCCACGCGATTCTGGGTTAGGACATATTACTGCATTTATGAAAGTCTTTGTGAACAAAACTTGACAATAACAAAACTAAAATAATTCAATCATGAATGGACTTTTGAAAAAATATGTACTCTTAATAAAATTTATAGTTCGTGAAATTAATTATTGTTTAATTCGGCACGTGATATGATAAAGATTTATAATTTTTTGTTATTCAAGAAAATTCTTGTATGATGTAAAATTATACTCTAGAAATATTAATTAACACGTATTAATGAAAGCATAAAAGTCATATATCAATATTTTCAACCTTTATTCTAAAGTTTCATATCAAAATAAGCATTAAATTTCTAAAAGAAAAAATAGAATTTGTATGAAGATAATGAATAATCATCTATTTTCTGTGGCTAAAATATTTTAAAATTCATTTTCGCAACCTTAGATCTAACTTGTTCCTTAATAAAATAAACGAGCTTTGCCATAAAATTAATAATAATTCTTATGGCAAATTCTGAACAAATTTTTATAAATTTATAAACATCAACTAAAAAAAAACCAAAAAAATCTTCCAAGCAAATTTTAACATCTTCAGCAGATTCTATTACTTCCCTCGATGGTTTTAAGAGAGATTTCACAAAGTAAGACAATGCTTCAGCAAAATTACTCATGTACCAATAACAAATTCTACCGAATTGGCAAATCTCAAATGTTCCATTCTTCTTATATATGGCCACTTCCGATGGAGTTTTAATATCTATTAATGAATAATTTATTATTAACCAAAATTATACTAATAACTATACAAACATTTAGCATACCCGGTTTTTCTTTACTAATAATTAATGCCAATAAAACTACGAATAAAGTAGTAACCAAAGTAATAATGATAAACATTTTTATAAGAAAAAGTAAGAACTTCATTTTTTTTAATTGTGGAAAAAGCAATGTGCAATCCTGCTGAATAAACCAAGCATACCTTTATATGATAAAAATTGTTATAACAAATATAAATTAAAAGTTCGTAAATATCACTGATATATTTTATTTATTCTATAATAAAATGCGTTCGTGTCTATTTACTCAAATAATTACCATTAAAGGATATGAGTCTCAAGGAAAAAAATCTAATCAAAGGTGATTGATTATAAATATTTATATATTAAATATTATTAAATATTCATCATTCGCCTATAAAAAAAGTCAAAATTTTAGCTATTCAACCTATTCATATTTACATATAATTTGACAATAATATGAATTCGAAACCCAAACGTACCAAACCCAAAATTTTGATTAAAGATATTCCCGTGGTTACTTATTCTCCCGGTGAATATGAAAGATACTGTGAAATATTTGCAAGTATGCAAAATAAAGACGGTAGTGAATTTTTTCAGAATGGTCTTCCGTTATGTCGCCAGAATACCTTTGTCCACCAAACACTCCAAGAATTAAGTAAAAATGAAAATGATCAAAAAGTTTTAAGAGCCGCATATGATTACTGCAGTAATCAACGTGAACCGAAAATCAAAAACACAACGACCATTAACAACGTCTACATTAAGAACGAGGTTGACCGCTCTGGTGCACAAGAAACAAAAGGACTGAATAAAAACGAATTAACTGGAACAACCTGTCCTAGAAACAGCTTATCTGAAACAGCATGTCCTAGAAACAATTTATTAAGAAAGATCGGTTTTATCATTATGATATTCATCATCATAGGATTATTTCTTTATGTAAGTGTAATCTAATTTTAAACCAAATAATATCTTCGACTTTTAAATTAATTTTAATGATTTCATAGGCTATTAAATATGTAAAAGATAAAGAATCCAGAATCAAAGAATTAGAGGCTAGCAATCAAAGGAAGCAAGATAAATATGATAAGCTCAGCTTCGAATTCAATAAGATGATCGGAAGATTGAAAACA